TAATTTTCTTTTGTATATAATTAAAATAGTTTAAGTTAATGACACAAAACACTAAAATTAAATATTTGTTTACTAACAATATTTTTACTAGATCATATTTCTGTGAGGAATCGTATTTCAGATTAATTTGTTGTTTACACTATCTACCTATTTCTTCCAAGCCAAGCATCGCGATTCCCGAAGAATAGCCTTGTAAGTTGCGTGCGTCGGCATCGCAGAACTCACATAGGTGTGAAAATATGGTCAGTCCATCATAGTCAGAATAGATAATTCACATAAGTAACTTAATTACCATTTCGCAATGTATTTTTTACTCTTTATTGACAGCGCTTAGTTACCACCGGAAGTCCAGCGTGCCCTAGGAAAGAAGAAAGATGCAAAGTAATACAGACATTCGCGCGCAGCGATAGTTTTATTTAGCTTGCGTGCGCGATTTATCTGATTAATAATAATTATTTAGGTTATCAATAATCATCAAGTAGTCAACATCAAAGGACTGCAACTTCAGTACGTAGTACTATTATTTATTCTGTGCTTATATCGACACTGACCCAGCCGATCATTATACTTTATACGTGGTAGAGCCATGCTGCAGTTATATTAGATGTATAGTTGTAGCACGAATGGGTCGGCTCGACCGGGGAAGGACCACGCTCTCACAGAATACCAGCGTGAAATAGTAGCTTAATGCTGCTGTATTTCGTATGGTGAGTGTAGAGAACCGGCGACCCATTTTACTGGAAACGAGGCATTCCATCTTAGTCCTCACGGGTGACAACACATCTGCATTTTGATTCGTAATCGAGTATAGATGTAGATGTCTATGGGCCACAGCAACCACTTACCATCAGGTGGACTGTGTGCTCGTTTGTCACCCTATCCTATAAAAAAAAATACTTAAGTCCAAAAATAATAAATGACCTAATAATAAAGCAAATTTTAGGTTGTATGAATTTTATTTACCAATATTACATTATTATTTTAATACATTAATTTACATAGAATAAATAAATGCTCGTTATTATTAATCAAAAAGTCCAGTTTAATAAAAAAAGCAAAGTAAACTAAAGAGAAACTAACGCGACATCTCAACTTTTCGACGTTCCGCGCAAATTATATTCAGAAATAGTTACAGATTTTATAAGTATTTAAATCAATACACAAAATGATAAAATTATAATACAAAATTAATAATTTATAAACAGTAACAATTTTTTTCATGAAAAAGTTAAACGGATTTTTAAGAGACATTCAAATAAGAGTATTATTTTTTTAGTGCTCACTTTGACAATTACAATTGTTTCGAAATTAATACGAAGTATATATCCATAACAAAGGGCCTAATATACATATTGGTAGTGAAATATATGTGCAAAATTCTCTAACATTATAAACACCTCAGGAATAACGATAAGAAGTCACACATTTAACAACCAAACAACATTACATAGTAACAGAAGAGTGAACTTATGTGCGGAAGCTTCACATAAGTATCTCGCAACGCACGTTCACAAGCGCGAGGTTCACCTACAGTAGCAAACAGAGAAAATAACGCATTATCCACCATAGGTTAAAGACAGTCTAACAGTTGGGAAACGAATGCTCTTGTGCAAAGCAACAGCGGGGTCCTTACGGGGTAGGGGGCGGCGCGACCTTGTGCCCCCAGCGCACTCCACTAAGGGTATATTCCAAAATAGAACCCAGTGTACTGTCCAATGCAAATGACGTCATGAATCGACGCTATACTGGTGATTCGTTCCAAAACATAGGACAGTATATGGCGTCATACATTTGGGCCATATTGGAAAAGTGTAGGCGATTATTTTGTCATTTTGTGCTCCAAAAATCAATATATCCTCCTAATGGAGGTACCAACAATTATTCTATTTTTTTTTTGTATTTGAATAAATAAAAACAAATTCTCACATGCTTCATTCAGCGCACACACAATTAAAAATTGTTTTATTATGGCCGAATATCCGACACAATATGGCGGCGGCACGCCAGTACAATATAGTGTCAATTGATGAAGTCATTTGTATTCGGCAGTTTTCTGAAAACGTTTCGGAACATACCCTAAGTCTGCTGTCCAATACATGCGGTAGACACAAGCGTGTTTTCAGTACTTATGTAAGTAATTTTAAGTGCCGTTTTCGAAAAATATATTATCTATAATGGTGAATTACTGTCATGGTTATGACTTCAAATTGAATTCGAATGACGACCATGCTTATATCTCCCTCATTTTTTTTTTGATAAAATTGTTTATCCGAATTAGAATAACACTACATAATTTAATTTAACCATACAAAACTGAAAATAACTATGAAAAGAAAGTGTCATAAAATATTCGGCGGTGCAAATGCTTGTAAAAATATATATTTTTCTCTAGTAATGAAAAATAATCTTTTTCAATAAATAGTTTTATAAGTATGCACATAATGTTATTACGTTATAATGAATATTATTTACATCCAAAATTATTTTATACCCAATTTCGAGATAACCTCTAACATATTTGCGACGACGGCGTTAGTAGTAAATATCTACGCGGGCATCGCCTGACTGTTATTGGGTATGTTCCGAAACGTTTTCAGTATATTGCCGAATACAAATGACGTCATCAATTGACACTATATTGTACTGGCGTGCCGCCGCCATATTGTGTCGGATAGTATTGGTATTTGGTATATTTGGTATTATACTATATATAGTCGAATTTGTTTTTATTTATTCAAATACAAAAAACTATAGAATATTTGCTGGTATATCCATTAAGAGGATATAATGATTTTTGGAGCGTAAAATAACAAAATAATCGCCAACACTTTTCCAATATGGCGCAAATGTATAACGTCGTATACTGTCCTATGTTTTGGAACGACTCACCAGTATAGCGTCGATTTATGACGTCAATTGCATTGGACAGTACACTGGATTCTATTTTGGAACATACCCATTGTTTCACAACTGTTAAGCTATATGCAGGCATCGCATTATATATTCATACGCTACTGTAGGTGAACCCCACGCTTGCGCGCGTGCATTACGAGACTCTTGTATATAGTTTCCGTACTCTCTTTCACTCTGTTACACATTGAACATTTTGACATGCCAATGAGTAGCGATAAAATTGTAATAAAGGAATTAGACACAACCCATATGTGTAACGTCACAATGAAAAATTACTGACACATATCAAATAATGAATTATATACTTAAAAATGCGATTGACATAACGAAGTTATACATAAGAGCCCACTAAAAATCAGTCAACGTTTACATGTTTATAAATAGTGTTAGCGTTTTAAAACAAATTAATTTTCTACATCCTAATATGAAAAATAGAGACTTATAGGCATTCTCAAACAGAGAGACTAATAACAAAACACGCAGAATAAAAGTTAGAGCACTTGATAATAATATACAAAATGATAATTTGTGGGTGAGAGTGATAGGTGAATAGTTTGATGTGATGAATAAAAATTTGTACATCAACCAATACCAGTGGGAATGTTTGGGTTACATTTTGTTAATTAGTTCGGTTTAAAAAAATTATAATAGGTAATAAATTTTAATATTGGCCTCATCTCAGCTTTAAAAGTTTTCCTACAAACCTACTGGATGACTTCTGCCAGCCATAAATTATTCAAACTAAATGCAGACTAAGAATAATTCCAGAGATGGGCAAACAATTTGAGTAAAATACAAAGACTAGTTAGATTCGAAACATGCTGATTTTTACTAATTTGATAGGTTTATAATAATATTCACATATTTGGGGAAGTTGAATTGTCTAATGCAGATGCTTGCGGCTAGCATATTGTAAATCGTGACAGATCCAGTTTTTTGGACATGTCTTCAAGCCTAAATGTAGTTTGTCCATCTTGGATCCCCATTTAAATGTAGCAATAGCAATGGCTCCACTTAAATCTTCAATTCATTCAAACCAGTTTAAACAAAAACAACAGTAGACAAACCATATTAAGGTATATTCAATTCTACAATTAGTATATTTCAACATCAATTATAGTTTTCAATTCATGAAAACTACATTGATTGTTCTTTTTAAAAGCAAATATTGAACTAAGTCAATATCAGACCAAAAATAGTACCTTTTAAAACTAGTGTTTATGAGTGTATTTATTTATTTAGATATATAGATTTTTTATATTAATAGAAAACACTGGTATAATGCACTTAATTGTATTTTAGTAACTTTTGTTTAAAAGCCAAACTTGTAGATTTTGTCATAACAATATAGATGAAATATTGGGGCATATATTTTTTTTTAAATATTTCAGTTAGATTAAGCAATACAGATGGTGAATTTAAGTGCAAATTTCGAGTGATTTTAAAACATTCAAAGACCAGTAAAGTGAGATCTGAATATCTCGGTCAAAAATTATTAAGATCCAATGTAAATTAACAGCACATTTCTAAATTTTCATAAAAATCAAATTCAACCTTTAATCACATCCACAAATGGCAAGAAACCACTTTTTTCATAACAACCAGAATTTAATTCTCATCGAGTTTCACTTTTATTTTTCAGACCCCTTACTATGACATTCATGATAATATTAAAAGCGTCTTATACCCTGCTCAATGCGATACTGTTATTCATATTGTCATGTTATACTCGTTCATAGTAAGGAAAAATATACATTGGACGTATCATGCCACATTCAAATAGGCCTTTCATAATCATGAATGCGATGTTCTTACTCTAAAATTGCCGTAGGAACTAACTTAAATGGTAAAGCGCACTGGAATATTGAAGGAAATAGATGAGATTACTTTAGTTTTTCGAAGTGTGTGTAAAAGCGTCTCTATAAGGACTTGTATCACATCACACAATATCAAATGCAAGTGCGGTCGTTGTAACACCTATGTACTATAAAATAACGACTTATTTTGCCTAAAACAACCGCAATATCGCTATAATGTTCAAATGTGTGGGAGTGTCGCTGCCACGTAAGAAGTGTAATCGAAGTGGTCTATCTCTTGGACGAACTCTTGATCTGTTGTAGTTTAAGGCGTAGAGCGTCCACCGCGGCTTCGTTCTTCTGCGATACAGATGGTGTAGTATGCAACTGAAACAAGTAAATTAAAAATATAATCATTTTAAAATAATTTTAGCGTTTAAATAACACACGGATAACAAGTCAAAACACAACACTAATTATTTTTATTTATTTTTTATAGGATAGGGTGACAAACGAGCACACAGTCCACCTGATGGTAAGTGGTTGCTGTGGCCCATAGACATCTACATCTATACTCGATTACGAATCAAAATGCAAATGCGTTGTCATCCGTGAGGACTAAGATGGAATGCCTCGTTTCCAGTAAAAAGGGTCTCCGGTTCTCTCCACTCACCATACGAAACACAGCAGCATTAAGCTACTATTTTACGCTGGTATTCTGTGAAAGCGTGGTCCTTCCCCGGTCGAGCCGACCCATTCGTGCTACAACTATACCACAAATATAACTGATAAAACTTTTACTTTGATGAGTAATTTTAATTTCTTTTTGTTTTAGAGTTTATATGTTGTTTAGTTTTTTTTTCTCTTATAATGATGTATACACCTGTAGACATATCCTATAACTAAAATTGTTGTATTTTGATTGTAACAATGTTTACTGATATTGTCGATGGTGTATCTATTTAAATAAATAAATATACCTGCAGCATGGCTCTACCACTTAAAAAATTTTATACATGGTACATGCAATCTATATTATGGTTGTAGCACAAATGGGTCGGCTCGAACGTGCTGTACCAAGCACCATGCTCTCCCAAATTACTAGCATGGAATAGCAGCTTAACACTGCTGTGTTTCATATGGTGAGTGTAAAGAACCGGAAAAACTTTTAACTGGATATGAGTCATTCCAACTTAGTCCTCAGGGGTGACAACTCCTCAACCGCTCGATCCAGTCGAACCAAACGTCGCAGGCACATCACACAACGACACTACACCCACACTAAACGGGACAAACAGTAATGGGACAACGAATGGGACGCGTCGCACCCGCAGACGGGCACGACGCGTTCCAGCTCACACCGCGTACACACCGTACACCCGCGTTCCTGGACGGTTCTCACCGCCCAGACCATCGACCGACACGAGCTGAGCAGTCAGAGACGGGGGTCCGCACTCCCCCCCTCGGACAGCGGTTAGATAGCTCAAAGAAAAACGCCTAAAAGGCGATATGATGATTGGTAACAATATCAAATCATAAACCATCTCATCATCATCCTCACCTCATTGCCTTTCCCTTTTTTAATTAGCTCGCGGCCTGCAAGCCCTGAGACAAGATGAAGCTGTAAGAGTCGCATAGACTAACAGCACTAACTTCTAGATAATAGAGAGAGGTGACAACTTATCTGAATTTTGATACTTGAATGAGGATGGATTTAGATGTTTATAGGCCACATCGTCCACTTACTATCAAGTAGACTGTGTGTTTGTTTGTCATCCCGTCTATAAAAAAATGTACTCACATCAAGCTGTGGGTCAATACTGTGAGATCGGGGTAAAGTGTTTTCATTTATAGTGTCAGTGAGAGCCCGATTGTCGCCCACTGGTGTGCGCGGCTGAGACGATGGGTTTGATTCCGTCTTCATTCCAGCTTTAGCCTAAAAAAAGTAAAACCACTTTAAGCTATCTTAAACATGTGTTAAGCCATCTTTTTATTAGCTTATGATATTTTCCCAAACAATAGTGTATTTTCAGAGAAACAAAATTTAGTTTGCGCTTTGGTTTTAAAGACCGATTTACATTTCGACAAGTAGCGACTTTAGTTACAGGGCAATTGACAGTAAACGGTTATGTGGGCAGTAGCGTTCAAACAAAGTCTCCGTGGCGACTTTAGTTAAGGACGTTGGTTTATAGACTTCGTTTGAGTGTGACGTTTCAAGACTACAGAATTTTTCTTGTTTTCGTTTAATATGGATCTAGGATTACGTCAAGAATTATTAAAACTCAATATAAAACGTATAAATATTCAATAAACAGTACCGTACAAACTTTGTGGCGAGCTTAATTAATAAAAGTACAATTATACGTTTTGGCGCGCAAACGTTGCGTCCTGTCAACTTATGCACTGAACTAAACTCGCTCGTTTACACGAACGGCGAGTTTAGTTGCGGCCCTTCGAACTTAACTCGCCGAAATATAGCCCGACCGGCTATCCCGTTCAACTTAATTGTTAACTTGCTACTTTACTCGTTTATTGCCGTTCAAACGAGATTTTCTACTTAACTCGCCAGGTTCACAAGTTAAATCGCTACTGTACTTGTCGAAGTGTAAATCGGTCTTTACGCCAAAATAAATTCAATGGAATGGGTTTAGTAGTTATGTAATAATCCAGGCAAGATACCTTGCAAGTGAGTATTATTAGCACTCGAAGAAAATTTTTACTTATAATTAAATTACTTACAATATAATAAATTAGAAATAATTAAACAATTAATTTTCATGTTACCTGTAAAGCCCTCAGTCGCTCCAGAAATATGAGATGTGACTTCTCATCGTTTTCATTACTAATATCTGAAAAAAAAATATAAAAAATTAAATAAATAAAATTAAGAAAAATAATTGTAGTAATAGTCTCAAAATTATATAATAATTTATACTTGAATTGCAAATAAATGTATGTAAGTTTTAAAACACACAAGACATAGTACCAAATTTTTAAAATCCCAATTACACTACATTTATTGATGTTTTTTGTGCCACTCACCTATGTTTTCATTTTTATAGTCATGCTTATACAACGGTACTGATGCCATCTTGCGTTGCTCGGCTACTTCCCGCAGACCACGCTCCACATAGTTACGGAAATAAAACGATGAGCCTTGCATAAAGGTCCAAATGTCCACCTCTGGATGACGTTCCTGAAATTTTTACATATGGTTTAGAAAAACTGTGAAAATACACAAACAAAAATGTTTACATAAAAAGGAAGAAAGGTTTTTACAGGTGCCAATCTGCACAGTTAAATGGGCAGCATTTTTTCAATTGCCATTCAATTTGATAAGGCATGTAGCAGTCAATAGATATAGGTAGCTCAGAAAGGTAATTTTCGTGTGAGATATTTTCAGCAGTGAAATTGTGATCATAATGATGATTAGTTTGTAAGCAGTCATCAATAACACAAATCTTTTTGACTGGGATGAATTGTTGAAATTATTACACTTGGCACATCAGTAGTGTCACTCAGCTGAGAGTACAGCCTGACATTAGAAGTTCACTACCATATAATATATCATATGTAATCCATAGAACATCTGCTAGGTTTTGCTATGGTGGCTTCGTATTGAAATGAAAGAGATGGATTTCAAAAAAACATATGGCTTCCGAGAGGTTATTTGAACCACAGAAATCTAAATAATAAGGCGATAGAAATGCCTTCTACTGTATTTTAATATAAGGACTCGTGTCGCCAGTTCAGAGCTCTCACACATAGACAAACAATACACAATTACGCCACATGCCTCTAGCATTCTTGCAACAAAGATTAAACTATGAACTATTGCGTTAAGGAATATTTTATAAAAACGCAAAATCTCAGGAGGCGTAGCTACTCGGTCCAATAATTAACGTGTGCGAAAAACAGTGAATGACATTGCGCGCTCACTCTCACTTGGGCATAGTGCAGCGCAACGCACGTTTCGATACCTTTCTATTAAGCGTCGTTGATCGTTGATCGTCGTTGATATAACTAATTAACTGAAAATGTCTCAGTAATATACGCTTTTAGTCTTAGCTTTAGCTTTTAGACGCTTTATAATTAGAGAAAAGTGGATATAATAAAACGTTATGGATAATTATATCCATTTATCTTTAATATCCGGATCTTTTTGAAACCAGGAATAATAGCATTTTATTAAATAAACAGATGTATAAATAAAATGCATACAACACTATACAAACAACAAATAAATAAATTATATATGTATTGGTGACATATTTATCGTTCTTTATTAGTTTTAAAGATCTGTAACTTTCTGTTGTTTGTTATTTTTCACCCGGCTTCTTACAGATCGAATTTAGTCTACTATCCTTACAATATAATTACTTATCCTTACAATATATTAAAATTGCATAAAAATTTATCAAGTAATTTAAAAGTACGAACAAACAGATAATCGCTGATAAACGGCTAATGGTACAAAATATTTAGAAAGAAAAAAAAAATAAAGAAGGTGTAAATAAATAATTAACGAAAAATCACATTTCATTCTCATTTCGGTAAAACTAGGTAAGCCAAACGTAATAAATTGTCGATATAAGATTGTAGTTACGTGACGTAACTGACACGCGTTCGACTTCTGCGGCCGTGTTCTAGGAAATTTACGTACGCAACAATTTTGTTTATTGCCCATACTATAAATCCATTGCTGCTTTTAGCTGTCGTACTCGTAGATCATGAACTTGCTTAAGAATTAATGGGTTTTAAAATGTGAAAACAATTACATTTTCGGAGACAATCGTAGTACTGGAGGTGAATAATTTTATTTCAGGTGAAATCTACGGACTGTTCCCAGCTATTCTCCCACAAGATGGAGCTGAAGTCAACATTTTTAGTTTATTTGGATTTTTGTGTAATTGGAAAATTATTAAGTCGTAGGAGTAGACTTGGCGGTTATCGGATATTACATTTTATTGGAATGGGTCATATCATTGCCTCAAAATCCACCCAATTCGACATTAATTTTGATTATAACATCCGTCATTGAATATATGGTCGTTTACACACACAGACGTATCCCTTATAGACGTTTACGAAGCTAGAACACTAGATGGCGTGTATGTAAAAAAACAAGTTTTTAATTTTTGTGTATGTGTAGATTGGGTAGGCAGAACTACAAAACGCTATGTACGATTGTTCTAAAAATAAAATTTATATTTGTTGGCGTAAACTATTTAATTGATTTATAACTTTGGGAAATAAATTATGTCAACATTGATTACAATATAACGCAGTTTTATTTTATTACATTACACTATTGAATTTTTTATCAAAACAGAAGTACCTATTTGAAGCAACATAACTATACTGATACATGCCTATTCACTCAAAACTAATAACACTGATGATTTGTAACAGTACTAATTTTTAGACAGTAATTTTACAAAATTTTACAATAATTAGACATTTCATAACCAACACGTAAGAAACTACAATTCACAAACAAGAGATAACGGGTGCGTTCGGCAGAAAAAAGCGCTAGCAAGCGCTTATAAGCGCTAAAATAGTTTTCGGCCAGGACACGATTCCTACTTCAGTAGCGCTGACACAATCCGCCATTTTGCTTATTTAATTTGTTTGTTTTGAAGTAGAGTTTATAAGTTGTTTTGTGCAATATTAGTTTTAAGTAATAAATAAATAATAAATAAAAATAAAATTGATTTATTTCAGACTGTTGTCCATTATATTGTTAGTAGCATACAAAGACATCTTAAAAACTAGGTTAGTAATATTTTGGAAAATATTTATAATGACATGAATAAACATATACATGTTATTAAAAATTCATGATTGGTAAGTTTTTAATATAAATACTTTACAAACATATATTTAAATTAGGTTAGGTTCCCCCCGTTAAAACTAACATCGTGTCCTGGAGGAAAATAGCTACTTATGATTTGACAGCGCTTACCGCTTACGATCGCCATTTTGCTTACAAGCGCTTGCTAGCGCTTTTTTCTGCCAAACGCACCCAACAACAAATCTATAACACGATTTATTCTGTGATTTGAAAATAATATTTCCTAATTTCGAAACACTCACAAAAGCTTTTAGTAAAACAAAAATATAAATCCTATACCTACGAGCAATTCTAGTATATATATATATATATATATATATATATATATATATATATATATATATATATATATATATATTATATATATATCGTATATATAATCGGAATCTCGGAAACGGTTCCAACGATTTTCATAAAATGTCGTTTTGTCCCCGTTTTCAGTCAATTAAAAACTGCTACAATATGAGAAGGTAAATTTTAACACTATAATAATGATCGTAATAGCTCAAGTGGATAACGCACTGTCGCGAAATCGTAGTTCCCTGGTTCGCATCTTGTCTTAGGATTGACTTTTTCCCTTTTTTTTTTCAAGTTCCCTTCTTTTGTGAGAAAATCTATTGTTTCGCGCCCTTTTTGTAGTATTTTTTTAAAAATACGAAAATTTTATTGCATTCATGATTTTTCATAACCAGTTAACTTTTTTTCTATTATGTCGGTAAGATCAAAAAATATTATTCATATTTTATCAGTATGTATTTTTAATCTAAATATAACTTCCAAAACACACGATTTCCAAAAAAAAAAAATACCGAGAAAAGCTCGGTCATCCAGGTACTATACAATATAATATATACAAATCTTCCTTCAATTCTATATGAATAGGGTTGCGTTCGGAACACAAGATCTAGAACACTAAAATGTACAAAAATTTACTTATCTTTTTATTTCAATGTTATCTTTATATTCTTGGTAGAATTGGCCGACGAATAAGAAAAATATAACTCAGATTAGAATAAGCTATTTATTTATAAACAATAAAGCACGGAACAGAAAAAAGGATTTTATGTAACTGAATTATATTTGTTTCTGAACGCACCATAAGGTATGACGTAGTGACGAGTGAACTTGAGCTCTACAAAATATAACAAACTAATAATGTGTGTCTGTCTGAAACTGTTTGCAAAATGCGTAAAGGGTGTTTAATGTAACCCGGCAAAACCATATTTAGCAAATGTTTGCAAGTTTAATTTGGTGACTACTTTGGTAGTTTACAGATTTATAATAATTGTATTTATTGTTGACCAAAAACATATTCAAACACATTCATATATGAAACACTGACACGTATGACGTAGGTAATCAGTATTGTGACGATATTTCAGAAAAATCACGGGCCAGCCTGCTGTTAATAATACTACCGAAAACATAATTGCGTTTTTAGAATAATTAATTACTCTACCAACGATAAATTACAATATAGTCTCAAATATTACTAGAGAAATATTGCAATTTGAATCAATGAAAACATACATACAAAATATGTATAATACACAAGAAATTCCGCGCGCAAATCATAGCGCGTGACATCCGAAATCAGAATATTATATTTTATAACAAGTCAAACAAGTGAACGTACGTAAGTTTGGCAACGCTTTTGTTTCGTCAATTCAAGGTCAGGAATACGTTAGTACCGTAGACTTCTCTGTCTACGGTTAGTTGTCAGGAAGGACGGCAACGTCGCTTTACCAACGACTTTTGGTATTTATGTTGCCACACAACGATAATAAGTAATAAAATTGTTTACAAAAAAACATAGGTGTCTAAGGTCATCAGTTTTATGTTATTTTATACTGTTTTTTTAACGGTTGGAAAGGAAATTAACCAATTATTGAAGATATTGATTTATCAGAATTATTTAAGATCACTTGGATGCCATCTAGCGTGCCAATGTTTAAACGTCGCCTTTCGTTTGCTTGTCAAAAGTCACGCACACTACTAAAGAATTGTCAAATTTTTTCGGGATTTCACTATTGTTTTTCTCAGTATATAATGTAAGTTATTGCCTATAAAGGTCAGACGCGTCCACATTACATTGTAGAGAAGTGATAAAATGATTAGTTTTAAAGAAAGAGTGTCTGTGTTTAGTGTATATTTTGGTTAAAAAATGTATGGGCGGACGGTCGACGCATCGACCTTAAGTATATTTCATTAAAAACAACATTATTGAAAACACTAAGTACTTATTTATGAAATGTTATCCCTTTATTAAAAAAATTGCGAGTTGTGGAAGAATTTCTGCAGTTGGATATGCTTCAAAACATCATTTTTACGTCTCTGCATCCGAAACAAAACTAGTGGCCGGCTCATCACGCGCTTGTGGCCTACGAGTCACATGTGCGGCGACAAGGTCACACGCTTTTACGACTTCTATTGTCTTAATATTTAGATTTCTGTGTTGATAACTGATTCATGTTTCCACGAAAATAAAATGATTCAGAAGAAAGGAATTTCGCTTACTCGAAGGTCATAGAGCTGCGAAAGCGCGTCTCGATTATGGTCTTTGGAACCAATGCGCTTAAGAATTAGCGCCAACTCTTCGTGTAGTGCGCGAGGCAGCCGCCCCGCCTGAAGCGCCGCATTTCCTGCTCCTACTCCCACGCCCATACCCACTACTCCCATACCCCCGGGAATACCACCTCCACCATTCAGCGACTCCGTCGTATTTTCTTTCTTGTCATCTAGTTTCAATTGCTACGGAATGAAGCACAATTTAAATTTCATTATAAATCAAAAAAGCTTTTGCAGTTTTTTTTTAACAATTCAATAATTTATTTATTAAAAGATTTATTTATCGTTAATGGCTTCTTTACAACATATATGTATTTATGTGTGCTATAAATATTATGTTTGTACTTAATTTTCATAATAACAATTTTCTTACCTTCAATACTTTATGCAAATAAGGATAGAGGTCGGATTCATTGACATCTGGTATTTGAGTTAAGTGGTTGGTAATTGATGCTCCTTTCATCTTCACCAATGTATGGACAAGGGTCTTTACAGTTCTAAAAAAAAGAAGTTATATAAATTATTTTATTACTAATAAATACAGATTTCCTATTCCTTATGTAAAATGTTTATTAGAAATAATTAGTCATTTCAGTAATAATAAACACCTTTAGTGGCATTTCATTATATAATACTTCATGTGGTGGAATTATAAAGGGGATATGATTGCATGTCTTCTAAAACTGCCATAAAGGGGTACCTGTAGAAAAGGCATGAAAGATCTTGTGCTACCTATTTAAAGAAAATTAAAGATTATTAGAGAGCGAAAATTCGGGCAATAAGGAACACTTATATCAATTACAATCCTTTAAATGAAATTTGAAAAAAAAAATAACAAAATAATTAATAAAATATTATTGCACCTATGAAAATTGCCGTTTTTTGTGAAATAAATTATTAAAAATTATTTTCTATACTTTTCATTTATATCAATATTTTGAATGAAAATCACTTATGCAATAATAGATGCATCTTTGCCAACGCAGTGACAATTTATTGATGCCCTTCTTGAAGAAATCAGCTGGACGGTAGGAAACAAATTCTTCAAAGGCATTTTGTACTACCACTCGGGTGTCGAACTTTTTACTCGCCAAAAATTATCCAAATTTTGGAAAAAGTAGAAGTCTGAAAGCACAATGTCCGGTGAGTACGGCGGCTAACGGAAAGCTTCCGACCCCAACTCTTGTAACTTGGACCCTCTGTTGTGCAGTATGAGGTCGCACGTTGTCGTGCAGGAGCAGCGAGGGTGAGCGATCGACCACAGCTGGTTAGAAACGAGAGAGCTTCTCCATCATTGTGTTCAGTTCTTCACAGTACACATCTGCAGGAATAATGATCATCCCGTTTGGTAAGAAGCTGTGATGAATCACACCGGCGCTAGACCACCAAACAGTGACCTTCACTTTTCTAGGGGTAAGTTTTCGTTTAGGACATTGTTTAGGTAATAATGCGGTTTAAAATTCCTTCGTTTGTGTGCTCGTTCAGCAGTACAAGACACGTCTCGCGCGTACTTTGAGCTGGCGATCATTGAATTCGTGGGGCACCAATTTTTGAAGCTTTTTTATCTTGCCAATTTGACGCAAATGGACCAATGTCGCTTTGATGCCAACGTCGAAAGCTGTTGCTAATTCAGCCGTAGATTGAGTATCATCAGCTTCCACTTTCGCCTTTCGTCATTCTCTTACCAGAAATTAGAATATTATATAATTGAAATTAGAATTCTTAGTTAAAGTTACAGCCTATATACGTCCCACTGCTGGGCACAGGCCTCCGCTCATTTCTGAGAGGGTTTCAGAGCAAGGAATTGTCCGCCGCGCTGCCCAATGCGCCTTGGCGAATTTCACATGTCTTCGAAATATTTTTTTTCTTATTACTTGACATGCAGGTTTCCTCACGATGTTTTCCTGCACCGCCGAGCACGTGGTAAATCAGCACTTAAAATTGTAATTAACAATTTCACTGGTACCGGCGGGGATCGAACCCGGTTTGCTCGCGTACTGTGAAGTTTACAGCGAGCACTAACCATCTGAGCCTCCACGCCTCCCAATTCAAAAATTATTTTGATATATTCTTATTATTCCTAACCAAACAAATTATTTGAAATGACCAGTACTGCAGAACGGCAATTTCATAGGTAAAACCTATTAGTAAATCTCCTCATAAATATTGTTACAAATTATAGAACAACAACCTAAAAACTTACAACAAACTTACCTATAAGGTGTATCGCTAATTTCAGCATTTTTCTTCCAGTAGCTATTCGGGAACGCCTTGTAGAACAGATGAATCTTATACAGCACTGCGTCATAATCTATAGAGTTTACTTCCCAGGTGGCGATCATCTTGAGGGTCTTCCAGAAGCATTTTAGTAACAAATCTTGGTAGCGTGGGTAAGCAGGGTCAGAAACACCAATCGATTCGTGAAGAAGTGAAACTATCGCACTGTAAAATAAACATTCGAAATTAACTTTTTGACAAATTTACAATATGTTTTGAGAGAGTGGTTTATTTAAATAATTACACATAAAATGTTATTATATTTAGTAATCCTTGAGGGGCTAGGCAGAGTCCAAAGAAGCAAGCTACTTGGACTATGTTTAGCCAAAAATATGGGTTTAGACGAAAAATTGTGAATGAATTCATAGATGGCTAGCCCATTGTCTACATAATCACAAACTCAACATCTCATTAGTCACCTTATACATGCTAGACAAGGTATACAATTAATGCATTAATTTTTTTAAGGTCCACATAAACACGGAACTTTAAATCCCAGACTAACATATTCATAATTGTTTAATATTTGGTGTTTATGTTAGTATAGTTTATGTTTCGTCTAGTCATTAAAGTTTGACTGACAAATTTTCATTTAGCAAAAGGAAATATATGAAATATGAAATATCATTAGCTTTCAAATATTTCGTTTTTGTAGGCTTTAAACAATTATTTTAATATTTCTAGTCGTTACTTTAAATGTTGCGGTGTAAGACGGAAGAAATATTTTTCCTAAATGTCAAACACATTTAGAAGTAGCGTGCCCTGATGACGGGCGCGGTTGTAACACCCATGCTGGCAGAAAATCCATTTTAAAATGATGAATTAATATTTCAGTGAGTGGTGATTGGAAAAAACATTACCAAGAGTGCAAGAATATCAGCTTAGTGCTCAGCAGTCTGCTTGCTTGGCCTGGTGAGCATCCAAATAATGCTGATGGTTTGATTGGGCGAGCGCACGGCGTGTGTATGCGTGCGTGCGCGCGCGCGCGCGCGCGTGTGTGTGTGTGTTTATGCGTGTGAGCGCGCGTGCGTGTGCACTCGTACGAGTGTATTTACTGTGTGTTCAGCGGAGCACGCAGTCCAGTTATCGCACAGCTAGTAGAACGGTTCGTCAGCACAGCATCGTGAGATTCACTGACCAGAGCAGCGGCGTGCGCGGCGAGTGCTCGAGCACGCTGACGCACACGTTGTTGAGGATGCGCACGAGCCGCTCCGCATCGCCGCCGCCCCCCACCCCGCCGCCCGCACTGCCGCCCGCGCCGCCAAGCACGCGCAGCAGCTCGCCCAGCAGCGAGCACAGCGCCGCCTCGCTCACGTTCCCGCCACACCCAGATGTATCGTAGAACTATAAAATATTATATACCTTTCAATTGTTTAACTATTGTGTCTGTTTCGCGGACAAGGAAAATGTTAAAACAAAGCACACATAAGGGCAGAGGTTGCTTTATTTTTATAATTTGAGGAACATGAAGTACGAACTATTTATAATTCAATAGAGTATTTAAAATTCTTATTATCTTTAACCCAGTATTTATATAGTTTTATAATCTGTTTGTGTTGTATAAATATATAAATGAAAATGATAAATATCTAAATATGGGTCTTATGTTCAGCAGTGGAATATTTATAACCTGTAGTGGGTAACTATTTCACCATTACTATCTTGCTGTTTCTAAATGATTTCATACTAATTGCGTAAAATATTATTTTTTTAAAAGCCCCTATTGGTTTTTTGCTACTTTTCCCTAGGACAATAGTTTTTTTGAACCGGTGGTAAAGCCTAAATGACCTTCCATTGGATTTTCGTTATCTATATTGAATAAAAACCGACTCTATTCTATACTACGAGGTAGAATTGTTTATCTATACAAATAAATAAAATTGAAGTGTCTGTTTGTAGCGTCAAAATAACAACATTTTACTAAAGCATATAAAGGTAAGGCGTGCCGCGCGGTACGCAGGCGCCGCAGCTGCGCCGCGACGGCCGCTACCAGCCGTGCTCGTGCGGAGCCGCGGGGAGGAGCTAGTGACAAAACAACAATACTGACGATGTTGAGCACCCCGGCGAGGAGCTAGTGACAAAACAACAATACTGACGGTGTTGAGCGCCCCGGCGAGGCACTTTTTGTACGCGGGCAGCGTGTGCTGCGCGTCGGCGTGCGGCGCGGTGCGCAGGCGCCGCGACGGCCGCTACCAGCCGTGCTCGTGCGGAGCCGCGGGGAGGAGCTAGTGACAAAACAACAATACTGACGATGTTGAGCACCCCGGCGAGACTCTGACGGTGTTGAGCACCACGGCGAGGCACTTGTTGTACGCGGGCAGCGTGTGCTGCGCGTCGGCGGGCGGCGCGGTGCGCAGGCGCCGCAGCGGCGCCGCGACGGCCGCTACCAGCGGTGCTCGTGCGGAGCCGCGGGGAGGAGCTAGTGACAAAACAACAATACTAACAGTGTTGAGCACCCCGGAGAGGCACTTGTTGTACGCGGGCAGCGTGTGCTGCGCGTCGGCGTGCGGCGCGGTGCGCAAGCGCCGCAGCTGCGCCGCGACGGCCGCCACCAGCCGCGCTCGAGCGGAGCCGCGGGGAGGAGCTAGTGACAATACAACAATACTAACGGTGTTGAGCACCCCGGAGAGGCACTTGTTGTACGCGGGCAGCGTGTGCTGCGCGTCGGCGTGCGGCGCGGTGCGCAGGCGCCGCAGCTGAGCCGCGACGGCCTCGACCAGCTGTGCTCGTGCGGAGCCGCGGGGAGGAGCTAGTGACAATACAACAATACTAACGGTGTTGAGCGCCCCGGCGAGGCACTTGTGTACGCGGGCAGCGTGTGCTGCGCGTCGGCGTGCGGCGCGGTGCGCAAGCGCCGCAGCTGCGCCGCGACGGCCGCCACCAGCCGCGCTCGTGCGGAGCCGCGGGGAGGAGCTAGTCACAATACAACAATACTGACGGTGTTGAGCGCCCCGGCGAGGCACTTGTACGCGGGCAGCGTGTGCTGCGCGTCGGCGTGCGGCGCGGTGCGTAGGCGCCGCAGCTGCGCCGCGACGGCCGCCACCAGCCGCGTTCGTGCGCGCCAGAGCCGCGGGGAGGAGCTAGTGACAATACAACAATACTGACGGTGTTGAGCGCCCCGGCGAGGCACTTGCACGCGGGCAGCGTGTGCTGCGCGTCGGCGTGCGGCGCGGTGCGTAGGCGCCGCAGCTGCGCCGCGACGGCCGCCACCAGCCGCGTTCGTGCGGAGCCGCGGGGAGGAGCTAGTGACAATACAACAATACTGACGGTGTTGAGCGCCCCGGCGAGGCACTTGTACGCGGGCAGCGTGTGCTGCGCGTCGGCGTGCGGCGCGGTGCGTAGGCGCCGCAGCTGCGCCGCGACGGCCGCCACCAGCCGCGTTCGTGCGGAGCCGCGGGGAGGAGCTAGTGACAATACAACAATACTGACGGTGTTGAGCGCCCCGGCGAGGCACTTGTACGCGGGCAGCGTGTGCTGCGCGTCGGCGTGCGGCGCGGTGCGTAGGCGCCGCAGCTGCGCCGCGATGGCCGCCACCAGCCGCGCCTCGTGCGCGCCTAGCGCCGCGCCGCGCCCCGACACCAACGCGCCCGAGATCAGCGACAGCGCGCGGATAGCCGCCTGCAGACAACAATTATACCAGTCTAGCGTTACCGTTACACCCTGTTATACTCCAACGCTGAACATAGGCCTCCTACATAGATTGCCTTAATAGGGGAAATATTTGTCACGCCTGACAAGCCAATTGGCAACCGCAGTTTTTTATATTAAATAGTTATTAATAAGACGCTGCTGCCTATCTCCTGATTTCGTTCCCTATTTCGCTTCTTACGATAATCATAAGATTGGCATAGAGGTCATAGAGGAAATGACATATAGGAAGATATATGTTATAGAGGAAGTGGATATTCACTTCACTGGACAATAAGTGTAAGGGTAAATTTACTCACCCTATCAAAGTCCATTCACTGCTCAACATAGCCAAACATAACTATGCACAACATATACATAGATTTCCTTGTAACATAATTTGCCGTACACTTGACAAGTTTTGACGATATTAGGAGATAGTCTTGCACTACCCTAAAATATCGTAAAAAAAACCCTACACTAACATTAAATTAGGTACTTACAAATAATCTGCAGTGTTGTTATCTTTACATTTAACTACTTTTTATGTGTGGTAGAGCTATGCTGCAGTTATATTAGTAGTAAAGTTGTAGCACGAATGGGTCGGCTCGACCGGGGAAGGACCAATCTCTCACAGAATACCAACACAAAATAGTAACGCAATGGTGCTGTGTTTCGTATGTTGAGTGTAGAGAACCGGACACCCTTTTTACTGGAAAAAAGGCATTCCTTCTTAGTCCTCACAGGTGACAATGCATCTGCATTTTGATTCGTAATCGAGGATAGATGTCTATGGGCCACAGCTACTACTTACCATCAGGTGGACTGTGTGCTCGCTTGTCACCCTGTCCTATAAAAAAGCAGGATTTTTTACAGGATAAGGATATATCTCGTTATAAACGAGAACACATTCCACCTGATGATAAATGGTTGTTCTGGCCCATAGACGTTTACATCTATTCTCGATTACAAATTCAAATACAGATGCGTTGTCACCCGTTAAGACTAAGATGGAATGCCTTGTTTCCAATACAAAGGGTCTCCGGTTCTCTACACTCACCATACAAAACAGTAGCATGGTACTTCCCCGGTCGGACCGACTCATTAATGCTACAGCTATACCGCTAATATAGCATGGCTCTACCATATATACCATGTCATATGACATAACGCCAATATTTCTTAACTATTCTTACATTAGTTACACATGTAAAAAAAAGAAATATAAAATAACTTACAAATATAAGTAAAACAAAATACTTTTTTACCATTATAAGGCATGCATAATGCTCGATGACTATCTTAACTATTTCAAGGATGAAAACAAAGGGAGATTCAAATATATATATTTCATTGATAGTATCCACCTGATTAATAGACTAAGAAATTATACTGGGTGACTATTTTTACCGTCTGGAAAATAATATGGTGTTTTGTGTCAGTGGAATAGAAGCTATCCTTGAAAGTATTTGTAAAATATAACTAGACAGGCAAAATTTCCGAATATCAGAGCCGTCAACACATTTTTTGAATCATCAGCTGATTGCGCGCGCTGACGCGCGCCTACGTTAACGAAAAGTATGTTTCTCATATTAATATAAGCACTTTTGATATTTATTTTTGATTTTTACTGCCTCATTGGTCTAGTAGATGTAGTACATGACGTCCTTGGTTCCCGGGTAGGGACAAAAAAAACAATTTATTGAATTTTCTGGCCAGAAATTTTTAGCAGCTGCCGGAGTCAGACAGTTGGAGGTGTCTTACCCCCGTGCCTCGGAAAGCACGTAAAGCCGTTGGTTGATGGTGGTTTTTTTCACGTATTAAGTCAAAGTAAACCTCCTGTACAGGAACGGGAGGCAGGTGCTCTTCAATGATTGATTTATTGAACGTTTGTTGGTTATATTTAAGTCGTCTTATTGCTAACAGTGTGTATCAGGTAATAATCAAAATTTAATACAGACAGATCTTATAACTAATTGCACGACGTGCTGTGATTGGTTGCTAACAATGACGAGCTCTGATTCGTAGCTAAAAGTTTGGTGTTCCGGTGCGTCGCTAGGCGGCGTTAGAAGTCGCGCCAACATGCCGGCCGCCTTGGAAGCTCCAGCTTCCAATGATGTATCTACGTTGCCGCTTGATTGGAGATACCGCAGGCTGCATTCATGTTGTCGTCCTCTGCTGATGATACAGGCAGAGGGCAGATTTTCGAGAACGCTCGTTGTACAGGACCCGTAGCAGTTTGGATGGTGGCGACACGCGACACGCCGTCTTTTCCGGGGAAAATATGGGTAACTCTGCCCATACGCCATTTAAGGGGTGGTAAATTGTCCTCCTTAATAACGACAAGCGTGTTTAATGCTATGTCTTCACTGTTCGCCTTCCACTTCGTTCTTGTCTGAAGTTCAGCAACATACTCTTGTGACCAGCGTTTCCAGAAGTGCTGTTTTATTTGTTCCACTCTTTGAAACCGTTTCAAGCTGTGAGTCCGTGCTTCGGTGAGGTCTCTGCAGGCTGGTGCAGTGAGTGGCCGGCCGATGAGGAAATGAGCTGGGCTTAGTGGACGAAGATCATGTGGATCTGAGGACATAGGACTTATAGGACGGGAGTTTAGGACTGCTTCGATCTGTGCCAACACAGTGCTGAACTCCTCGTACGTCAAGTTAGCGGTACCCACGACACGCTTAAGGTGGAACTTACATGATTTTACTCCTGCTTCCCACAATCCCCAAAATGAGGAGCATAAGGGGGGAATAAATTTAAATTCAATATTGTCAGTTGATAATCTATCAATTATTTGCTTTGAATTTCGCTCTAACATTTTGTTAATCTCTTTCATGGCTCCAATGAAAGTTCTACCGTTATCTGAGAAAATTTGAGCTGGTTTACCTCGTCGTGAGATAAATCTTTTAAGTGCTAATATAAATTCTTGAGCAGCTAACGTACTGACAAGTTCTAGATGAATGGCCCGGGTAACAAAACAAACGAATATGCAAATATAGCCCTTTTCCAATTTAGCTCCCCTTCCTTTGCGACTCAGTACGTTTATGGGACCCGCATAATCCACTCCACATCGAATGAATGGGAAACCAGGTTCTATTCGTTCAGACGGAAGGTTGCCCATGATTGGCGTTAGGGTTTTACCTTTCATTCGAGTGCAGCGGACACATTGGTGGACAACCTTTCTAGCTAGGTTTCTACCCCTAACGGCCACCAATTCTCACGCATGGTTGCCAATAGCAGCTGGGGACCAGCATGAAGAAGCTCTTTGTGTTGATGTTGAAACAACAATTGTGTGAAGTAGTGTTTACTTGATAAAAGTATCGGGTGCTTCTTGTCGTAATTAAAGTCAGGCGAGTTACTAAGACGGCCACCTACTCTAATTATATCCCTTTCATCTAGAAATATATTAAGCCTAGAAATCGAACCTGAAGTTTTTAAAGGTAAGTTATGTTTTAACTTATCATATTCCATCGGAAACGATTCGCGTTGAACAAGACGCGCTAACGACTGTAAGGAGTCATTCAATTCATCTACTGATAACGGCCCCTGTGTACGATCTTTCTTTGGTGTGCGTAAGTTATGTATGTATCGCAACAGGTAAGCGCCGGCGCGCACGATACGCTGATAAGAACGAAACCTTTCAAAATTAATAATTTTATTCTTTGTTACATCACAAACCATAACCGTTGTCGTTTGTGATTTTAGTTCTGGTAAGTCGGAGTGTGTAGTCGAAGATTGCTGTGACCATGCCGACTCAGAATTTTTTAAGAACTCAGGTCCGCTCCGCCACAGATTACTGTCAATGAGTACATCAAGACTAAGACCCCGCGAGACCAGATCCGCTGGGTTATTTTTGGTTCCTACATGTAACCATAACGCATTACTTGTTATTTCATTAATCTCCACTATTCTATTTTGAACGAATGTTTTTAACGAATGTGGTGACATACGTAGCCATCCAAGGACAATAGTTGAGTCTGTCCAAAAGTAAATTTTGTGGAAATTAACACGCAATGACTCGATAATTTTCCTATATAATCGTGCGCCTATTAAAGCCCCGCACAGTTCTAATCGGGGTATGCTGACTGGTTTAATTGGTGCAACTTTACTCTTTGCACACAATAATCTAACAGTCACCGATGAGTCATCAGAGTAGGTGCGAACATATGCGCATGCACCATACGCACTCTGCGACGCGTCCGTGAATACGTGTAATTCTATAAACTGTGTGTGTGCACTCATAACATGACGCGGAATACGTAGGTTATGCAAATATTGAAGTGTGTCAATAAATTTTTCCCAGGATAAAGCAACATCACTGGGAACGGGATCATCCCAATTTATCTTGCACAACCACACTTTTTGCATCAATATTTTAGCTACTACGACAGCCGGTGTTAAAATTCCTAGAGGATCGTATATTTGTGCGATTATCGACAACATTGTACGTTTATTTAGTAAATTCGGTCTAACTACTCGTGTGGTAAAATGTAGTTCATCACTTTTATTATACCAACCCACTCCTAAAGTCTTAGTTTGGGAATGTTCTCCTAATGACAAGTCTTTAGATATGTCGTGGTCACTGATATCAACGTTAAACAACCACTTACGCAACGGTAAACAAGCCGAGTTTAAAGTATTTCGTAACTTCTCACAGGTATCGAGTAAGCTATTTAAATTATTGTCACCTAGGATGACGTCATCAACGAAAAAATCCTCTCGGATTACTCTCGCAACCTGCTGATCCTTACATTCCAGCGCAAGCTGGCGTAAACATCTCATACTAAGGTATGGCGCAGACGCAGTGCCATACGTCACGGTGTTTAGGCGATATACACGTATTGGGTCCGACGGAAGTTTACGCCATAATATCAATTGTAAATCTCGTTGATCTGGTTGCACAAGAAAATTCCGAAACATTTTCTCAACGTCCGCACAACCCACGTATTTATATTGCCTAAAGCGTAATAAAATGCTAAAAATGTCATTCT